TTTTTGTGGGTTAAAACGCCTTTCTCTCCATGGTCTTTTTTTTGGGCTAAAAACGCCTTACTATCCATAGTCGTTATTTTTCCGTTAAAACGCCTTACTGTACATGGTCGTTTTTTTCGGCTAAAAACGCCTGACTATACATGGTTGTTTTTTTCATCAAAAAACACCTTACTGTACATGGTCGTTTTTTTCAGCTAAAAACGCCTGACTATACATGGTTGTTTTTTTACCATCATAACTACTTTTTTGACTTTTTTTTTCTACCCCAGGCAGCAGTAAACATGATCTGCTTCCTGCTCTTGAAAGACCCAACAGTTTATGCCCAATACATCTTTGTCTGCACAAGAAATTGACTTGCGTGTAACTCACGGATGCCTTTCCCCTCAGGTCAACACACCTGTCCCACCGTTCTTCTCAAGAGCTGACCACTTCGCCGCCCAGCAACAAGCAGACTGCCATTCAACTTGCAACTTTTTCCTCTGCTTTTGTGATTGTCTACTCTGCAAAAGAAATAAAGCTTGATTACAAAGAACACTTCAACTCAACTTCATTTTTAAACACATCACCACAAACTAACTTTAAAAAAATATATATTTCAAAAAACAAAATTATTTTTCAGTTTTTTCTAAACTTTTTTCTGAATTTTTTTCAAACATTTTTTTCCGAAAATTTTTTTCCCTAATTTTTTTTTCCAGGCAGAAAAATCCAGGAAAGTGGGTGTGGCCTGGATGGAATGATGGCTGATGATTCGCTGATAGCTGTGAAAGTGAGTGGAGCATGACAATAACATGCTGTGATTGGTGGAATGGGGGTGGTTATGCATATTAGGCGTTTTCTGATTGGTGGTCTCTATAGGGGCGTGGTTATGCAAATCTGGAGCCTCCGATTGGCCAGAACTCGGAAAGTGGGTGTGGTTATGCAAATGAGGAGTCTCGCTGCGATTGGTCGATGTCAAATTGGGTGTGGCTTGGGGCGGGCATTGCAGCACTTTTTCAAAGTCCCACTTGAGCCTTGAGCTCAGACTTGCACTTGGGTCACATCAGACAGTCTTTTCACTGTTCCCGTCGGTTTCACATGAC